CTAACAATCAGCCACTTACTAGCCAAAAATTTCAACTATTTTCAATGGTTTTACACAATAGAATACTGTTAACATTGGGAAATATTAATCACAGGGCTATTATCCTACTTATATATTGCAATTAATACACTGTTCACGTAATTTATAGTATTAAAAGGAAATATTCTGTACATATTCAACTTGCTCAACTAGCACATGGAAAATGAATTCAAATTTAGCCGCCAAATTTATCAATTTTATGGTTTATCAATAACTAGGAATAAAACTATCGTTACATTCCGCATAAACCATAACTAATTATTATAAGTGTTAATAAAACTATTTTGAAGTATCGAGTTAATTGAAAAGTGACCGAAGAATTATTTTGTATTTGATTGAGATCATGAACCGATTGATGTCAGACCACCATTGAAAACCTGGAAGCAGTGGACGGCCGTTTCGTCTTATTGTGAGACTCCTCAGCACTGCGCGTCCACGATCCCGCTTGTAGGATTCGAGCCCAGGGCCTTTAGCCTCGCACGCGAGCGCTTAACCGCTAGACGATTGAGCCGGCATCCAATGGTGTTAATGTCTAACCTCAATCAATCCATGAAGTTGCGCGACCATCTTCCATTATACTGAGGTAGACACCTGTTTCTACCCAACACGGATTAGCTCCACTGGTCACGGCTTCTCACCAGAACTCCGAGAATTTGTAGTTAAATACGGAATCGTTAGGGGCATGTAAATAGTGTTAAATTATCCTAACACTTTGATCATGAGAAAATATTTGATAACTAAACTTGCTTTCAAATTTCTAATATCGTCCATAAAATACTCTGCTTTGGGTAAATGGAAGCATTTGGAAAGTAGATTTGGACTTCGTTTGCGTGTTAATTAGCTCATGTCAGTAAAGCGTGTTATCAGTCTTGAAGCAACTAATTCTTTTTTTTTTGGGTTCCAATATTCATTACCTACAAATAATATCAATTGTCTCAAGAATGTCGGCATACTTTTGCCACAAATGCCAACCAGCACCAAACACAGGTCCAGAGAATCCCGTCTACTCTCTGAAAACACCTGACTTCAGAACAATGGACGCAATACAAGTTGATCAACATCATAGATTAGACAAAAATAGCACTGGCTACTATTTAGTGATGAACCAGTGGAAGGGGTTGCATTTTTCAGTTAGTTAAAAACAATAAATAATGTACATGTCGATTGAATCAATTCATATCGTTACTAAGTAATCCAGTAGATAATACACTGAGATATGAATCTGTGGGTTCAGAGTTTGATTTTCTTTTTTAATATTAAAGCTGAGGGACGAAGATAAATTTGTCTGACGAGTTTTGAATGGAACTAAAAGTGTCTTTACGATTCCAATACTAGTCATTATTGAAACTAAACATACTGATTCTACCGAAAGCATATTTATTAGCATACTTTTATGTGAAGTAGTTAAGTGATCAGTGTCCAAATAAACTAATTTCAGTGTTTCAAAACTCTCAACTAAACGATTCTCAAGAAAATAGAATATAAGTTCAACAAACTTTTAAAATAATTTTGGCAATTTTGTGAAGTTTCCATTTAATAAGATCTCTGCTAGTGCAACAATATCTCATTATATTCTAGCTTTGAGTTGTTACTTGGTTAGAATTTGAGATTTAACCTTGAAATAAACTATGAAACGAAAACGGAAATTCACAGATTTTTTTTAATAGGTTAACTAATTTATTAATTGTTCACCTGAATTCTGTTGAAATTTCTTTACAATTCAAAAAGCCTTTTAGGATCTAAGATCAATTCTATATTTTTCTGTTTTTTACATATGTTTACATTTAAAACTTAGTAACTTAGTAACAAAACTCATCACCACCGTTCCTTTCTGCAAAAGAAAAAATCACTAAATATTAGAAAGAATATACTAGAAAAACGTGTATAAGAAACTAGTTAAAGATGAATGTATAAAATTAATAATTTACAAGGTAATGAATAAAAAAATATAATAAGATCATTAAGAATACAAAAGAAAGTGATATTTTAACTATGAAAATGAGATAAAAAAAATTATTTCAGTTACTTAGTTACCAGAAACAGAAATAAGTAACATTATATTAGATAGTAACTTTCTGGGTAAAAGATGATATGATATTCCTATGTATCTGAATAGTCTTTATTATTGGCATCTGAATTGAAAGTTCTGTTTTAGATTATCGATAGAAACATAGATCTTAGGATATAATTTTATCACAGAATTATATCATGATATTTTTTTTCAAGTTAAATCTACTAGTTTATTTCATATGAACTGGAACTAACAACAAAATCATTGAAAGACATTATGGATTGCATAACAGTTATGTTTTAGATTTTATTCTCTTTAAAATATACAAAATCAATCTGGAATAATCAAGTCTTAAAATGAGTAAAATACAATTTAAACATAGAGTATAATATTTTCAAAAATTCTGTGAATTTGTAATTTTATGGAGTTTATCATCGAAAGTGGTTGAGAGATATATTCCTTACTCCCTATTTAAATGATTCAACTAACAGTAATTTCATACTTGGATTGAGGTATTGGCGATCTGTTAAACCCTACTATGAGACTCTTCAGCAGTATGCTTCCATGGTACCATTCGAGATCGAAACCAGGTCCTTCAGTTCTCATGGTGAACACTTAACCTTTAGACTACTGATCTGGTATCTGAAGGGTTACTTGCCTGTTTTCAATTAATTTTCAATGTTATATGATACTCAAAAATATCCACGAACATCTATGTTAATAGCAATTATATGCTCAGTAATAACTGACCTCGAGATGCAATTTTCAGAGTTTTAATAAAAAGCCATGGCCATTAGAGTTCAAATATGCCTTACGTCGGGCAGTTATTTACTGATAATATTGAGCGATATCGCAACTGACTAAAACTGGATATGTTAACCATACCGATTTAGTGGTTAGGGCTTGTCGAGAGGCTTGAAAATCATCTAATGCTATAACTGAACAACATTAGATATGGCTCAATGAAAGAGAGAAATAAAAGATGTAGACACAGGAAAATTTATTCGACATTAAAAACAGATCAAAACTAAATGCATTGATTTCTCTGAAGTTACATGAGTAAGCATGATATAATCAAAGTAGAACAAAAACACTGAAGATTGACGATTGACAATATTTTAAAGGAACATTCAAACTTTAACTCTATGATAAGTAAATTATCTAATACACTTTACAATGTTGTAATAAGAATTCTTTATAGTGTAGTCGTACTTTGGAATTCAACGATTAGATAATTTATTCAAATATGTTTTATTCATAGTAAATCAAATAAACTCTTTACAACAGTTTATTTTACAGAAAAGAAGATAAATGACGCTAATGATTAACATCAATGTATTCTCGTAATTGGCGTGATTGATAAGAACACAATCAAGCTCAGAATACCAGGTGTGTTTATCCACATCAACAGATGACACAAAGTTAAAGAATGGTATTAAAAGCTTCATACAATAAAATGTTCGATAGAACAGAATATCAACACTATACTGTAAAACAGTGGAAAAGTAGTTCATTTAAACATCAATAACTAGTGAGTCTATAAACATAAGGTGGATTGGAACCTCTCATTATAATTCTGACTGTACAACTCTTGTACTTGTTACACGATTAAGCTTAGTTCAGCTACAATCAACATATGATTACGCGATCAACAGAAGTGAACCAAAACAAATAATCATTGTTGTCAATAATACAAATATTGGCATATGTGATCTCAAACTAAAGGATAAATTACAAGTCAGGAATGTATTTGAATGAAGAAGAAATAAATTCGTCAATTTTGAAAAAATTATTCAAAACATTACTGTAGATCTGACACAAACTATTAATAAAGTGTAGTTAACCAGGAAACTGGTTATTTGTACAATAAAATTTCAGTGAAAATAATTTTTCCATTGCTAATAAAAATTTTCATTTAAGATAAATAAATTATACCTAAGACTCAATTCACTATTCTTGTTATCATTATAAATTTCATAATTAGAATTAAAAGAGTGTATCAATCAATCCATCTTCTCACGAATGCAACTAGATTTCATAGTGAGATGATGAAGAATGTCTGTAAGTCAGAATGAGAATGTTTCATATCACACATCAAACATATACGTGGATATATCTTTAACTCTTGACTAATCTACTATGAAATATTTTATAAAGTAACTGTAGCTACTGTAAGATCCATTAGAATAGTATTATTTTACTGCACAGAATGAAAGAATCATTTTAAATTTTGTGATTAAAAATTTCGTTTTAACACTAATTTCATAAACAATTATACCTTACAGAAGACAAAAATAATTGATAATTAAATACGCTTATGTTTAGCTATTGTATATATCAATCATTAATGGAGATTAGAAAGTCATGAGCGATGCTTGTTGATGACTGTCATACTGTAGTGAACAAGAAAACAGGTGGGGAAAATCAAACGAATTTGGCAGGAAATTACAGAACTTCTTAAGAAAATCTAACAAGCATATAATAAATGCTTAATTTGCAAAATGTCCATCAATTGTTTTAAAATGAATCAGACTTCATTGTTCTTGCATTTTCATACAAATTGCATTCTGTTTCTATTCTTTACTGTTCGACCCTCTTGTTTTTCCGCTGTCAGACATTCTGTTCCTGGCTAACGTCATATACTACTTATGTCGACATAAGTAGCGCACACCACAATACTAGGACAAGAATTATTTAAGGATTGACTGTAATGTAAGTGACATCTTATATTGATCCTAAATGATACACTTATATTATCTAAATGACTGAAATTAAAATAACACACAAAAGTTTCCCCCATTTTTCTTTTTATTTGACCATAAAGTGATCAATATATACTTTTTCAAATTAATATAACAAACCAGTAGGAAATCACTAATAGTTTCTTTGGTATACTATTGGTTTTCTATTTTGAGCAATGAAATATAACAAGTTGTCAAATAGAAAATATGAAACAGATTTTACACATTTCTTCCTTTTTTTTAAAAAATCCCTTGTAATGAAAGAAGTGTGAATCTATGGAAAGATCAAATTTTTGTATCAATTAAATTCTTAGAAAGGATAATGAATAACTTGAAAATTCAAGAGAAATCATCTTCATCTTCTAATAACTACGATTCTGATAGAGCAGTAGCATTAAAACAGCATTTGGATAATTTACATAAACTAATAGGTAGGTGTAAATGTTTTATTCAAAACTAATATTTTATACAACAATCTGATATGATCTACTTTCTATCTATATTAAAAATGAATTGAATGTAAACTAACTGAGAATGATCAGAAATAGTATCATTTTTACAAAAGATAAACAATATAATAAACATAGTTAATTAATTTGTTTTATTAGTTTTACTTCTTACTAGATTGTTATTGAGAGTAAAGTGTTTAAATTTGTAATACAATGGATGTGAATATGTTTTACGGGAGCAGGGTGAATTTGTAAATATATCATAACTTTAATGATCTGTGATTGAATGCAAATACTAGAAAATATTAGAATTAATGGTGTATAGATGAGTAAAGTTTAATAAAAGAATTATGTTGATTATTTTTTTGATTTTTGAAGATTTTTTAGTTTATATCAGTTTATGATTATAATTGTCTTTGAACAATACAACTTACTTACTTATGCATGTTACTCCTCGTGGAGGAGCATAGGTCGTCCAACAGCAATCGAAATCTAACCCTGTTCTGGGCAATCCTATCAAGCTCTTTCCTGTTGTTATTCATCCTTTTCATATCTGCTTCTGTTTCCCGACGTATTGTATTATTTGGCCTTCCTCTTTTCCGCTTCCCTTCAAGATTCCAAGTCAGGGCTTGCCTTGTGATGCAGTTTCATGGTTTGCGTAATGTATATCCTATCAATTTTCAACGTTTTTTCCTAATTTTCTATTCATCTGGAAGTTGGTTTGTCCTCTCCCACAGAAGGTTGTTGTTGATGATATCTGGTCAATCGATGTTGAGTGTTTTGCGTAAACAACTATTCATAAATAGTTGTACCTTCTTGATGATGGTTGTAGTAATTTTCCACGCTTCAGCTCCGTAAAGTAGAACTATCTCGACGTTCGTATTGGAGATTCTGATTTTGACATTGGTTGACAGACAGTTGTTTTCAGTTCGATATGTTCTTTAATTGGGTGAATATATATTTCTGTTAGTGATTGGTGTTACATTTATCTAGTCCTTGATTGCTGATCCAATTCTGCTGATCATATTTCCACGTAACCACTAGTCTAAGGGACTCGATATCGCTTATATAGTGTGTACTGAATAGTTCAGTCGTAATGTCACAGACTGTGAAATTGGATGATACATGTTCTAATTGCATAGTGATCATTAGATCCCTCAAGTGTTCAGGTGAGCCTTACTGATAAATGTCAACTGGCACCTCAGTTTAGGGTTTCTTGCTGACTACCTAATACCACCTAACACGAAATATATTTTTTTGTTAATATTCTTATTACTGATAAATCACATATCTCTCGTTCATTTGTTTATTGTTTTTTCTATGATTAACTACTTAATAAATTTTGAAAGTAGTTAATTAATTTCATCGTATTATTTTTTATTTAACACTTCGTTGTTTATTTTGATAAGCAAATTTACAGTTTGATAATTCAATACCATTACATTCTGACATTGATGCGCGAGTTGTTTCTAGTAATAATTGGTTAAACTATTAAGTCACCTGTTACAATTTATTACTTGGTTAAGGTATAGTTTGAATGTTGTTCGTTTCTTTATATTACGTGACATCACTCAGTAATATGTTCATACAGCTCTACTGGTGAATCACACTAGCACAATTCATAGTAAACTCAGATTGGTGGGAACAGTGAAAAGTTCACATAACTGTCATTTTGTTAACCTAAAATATTTGTATTCAAACAAGATTATGGGATATTTAATTATTATAATTGATAGGAAACTAAGATCATTTATTCTGTAAAAATATCCAGTAACACTTTGAATAAGTCTGGGTGTATCTATAAGTTAATCACATTTATTTAGTAGAGAAATATTATCAGAATAAATAGAACTTATGATTAATTTACACTGAATTTGAAAATACCGTCACTTATAATCTAGACGGCCTAGTGAATTTACTTTGCCACGTATTTTCTAACTGTTTAAATGTTGCTATACATTTACCTGTTTTAATCACTTACTTACTTATGTCTGTTACTCTCAATGGAGCATAGGTCGCCGACCAGCATTCTCAAACCCACTCTGTCCTGAGCCCTCATTTCTAGTTCTACCAAATTGTTGTCCATTCTTTTCATATCTGCCTCCATTTCTCGACGTAATGTGTTCTTTGGTCTTCCTCTTTTCCTTTAGCCTTGAGGATTCCATGTGAGGGCTTGTCTTGTGACACAGTTGGGTGCTTTCCTCAATGTATGTCTTATCCACTTCCAGCGTTTCTTCCTGATTTCTTCCTCCTCTGGGGTCTGATCTGTTCTCTACCACAGTAGGTTGTTGCTGATAGTGTCTGGCCAACGAATACGGAGTATTTTGCGTAGACAACTTTTAATAAACACTTGTATCTTTTGAATGATGGCTTTCGTAGTTCTCCAGGTTTCCGCTCCATACTGTGGAACTGTTTTGACAGTTGTTTTGAAAATGTTGACCTTTGTGTTGATTAACAGTTGTTTTCAGTTCCAGATGTTCTTCAGTTATTGATGTACTGCTCTTGCTTTGTCGATCCACGCCTTCACATCTATATCAGATCCACTGTGTTCATCAATGATGCTTCTCAGATATGTAAAGGTTTTTACATCTTCCAAAGCTTCTCCGTCAAGTGTGATTCAATTGGTGCATGCTGTGTTATGTCGGAGAATCTTACCTGTTTTAGGATTGTTTTAACTAATCATTTATGCATGTTGACCGTCTAATATAATCATATGCTCTTTTAAAAATCTTTTTAAACTGGTCTCAGTGTATTCGCCGTGCAGTTACTGAAATGGGTCTTAAAACAGTTGATGTCTAAAAGTTTCGAGTAGTTTGTACAATATGATTTTAAATGAATAAAAGTTTTCAAAACGTTTATGATGATAAACAATCACAGTTTGTTGATGGATATTTATAAATTTTCGCTTTTGTTAACTAGCCATGAATGATGACTTCAAAGATGTTTGATGAGGTATTTATTTCCGTGATTTACATAACGCACCAGTCCAAGTGACCCTTGAAAACCAGGAAGAAATGAAGCTGTACAGAGTTCCATCTTATCTTATCTTAGTCGTGGAGAGTAGGCCGCCAACTAGGATTTTCCAACTAACTCTATCCTGTACTCTTCTTTCCACTTGTTCCCATGTGCTGTTCATTCTTTTGATGTCTGTCTTTAATTCCTGGCATAATTTTTTCTTTAGGTTTCCTAATTTTCTTTTGCCCTGAGGATTCCTGATTAGGGTGTGCCATGTGAAGAGGGTGCCATACTAAGAAGAAATAGCTATCTAGTACTTCTAGGTTTGTAATAATTGTCTAGCTAAGATCAAACCGTAATGCAATCTATGAAAATTCTACAATCTCAACAAAATCCAATGAAATATCTATTTGTTGAATCTAAAATGTAACTGGATTTTAATTCATATATATTAGTTGTTTCAATTTTCCTATTGATGTTTAAAACTGAAGATGATTAGTCTTTTTTGGTACATGTGCATCCTAAGCGGATCGCATCTATATTGCCAGTAAGTCACAAACAATTTTAAGCCAAATGAATATCAACTATGGGATGTAGGTACATCCAGCTGATGAGTCTCAAATAAGACGAAACGTGCGTCCTAGACTCGACTGATGTTCACCATTCATCTCTGATTAAAAATAATTTGATTCTTCATTCAATTATTGTATAATAATGTGTTCAGAACCGATACTTTATTTTACTACAATCTACAAATAGTTTGGTCAATAAATTATTATTAGTACTCCTTTTCTTAAAATATCATTATATACTTATGTGAGTTTGCTTTTATAAAATAAATGAAGAAAGGTGTTATTCTGACGGGTCATTTAAAGCTAAATTGTTATTTTTATTATAGCTACTATGTAGGGACAATATTTTCCCAAATAAGCTAGTATTTTTTAAAGAAAATGTACTAAGCAAGCTGGTATTATAAAGTTTATTGAACACTAGGAAACACTAAGTAGTATTCTCAAAAATGCCGAAAATGTTGTAATGATATTTAGTGTCATAGGGCGGTTATTCTCTCTAACATTTTATTATAAAAGATTATCTTTCTTTCAGTGAAATAGTATAACACTAGAATTCGATGGTTTATATTGTAGCTCTAATAAAATTGGTTTTCATGATTCTGATGACTAATTTAATATACTAACAATATTTGTAGATTAGCTAGATATTGAAGAGTAAGGATGAGTGATGTGTTCTATTAGCCAGATGATTTAGTTATAAAGCCATCATTGTCTTTCTCGATCACATAGCGCGTACTTCACAGGGAATTGACCCATTAAAAGTTCTCCACAAGTGACTAATAGCTTATTCAGTTGATTTTGAATTTAATAATTGTCCATAATTGTGCTGTCGTTGTTTGTAAGTTTTTCTTGACTATTTTCTATCTTGAACCTGAATCTTTCAGAATATACGGAGTGAAAAACCTATTAACTAAAGATGGATTATAATATGAATCTAATAAGCTAATTAGATACATAATTTCTGAGATATTAAACATGAAGATAGTTGGGTTAATTCGGCAAATTTAGCCAACCACAAGAAATATTTTCGCATTGACTATAGTTTCACGTAATATGATTACGAAAAACTCAGGCTACAGATAGTTTGTGATTATTGTTTTCATCGTTTGTAATTGTTCGCCGTTATCCTTTGTTTTATATCCTATAGCCTGTCAATTATCACGTACCTGAATTGCCAATCAGAACACCGACTTATACGATCTTGACCCTGTGTCAAACTAATGACTTTTTAACTAACACAAACAGCTTAGAGTCAACTCTGAGTCCTTATTGGTTCTGCTTGTCTTACCCTACCCGTTAATTCCAGAATACAATCTCAGCTTCCATTGTACGAATAACGTATTTCAGACATACGCAGTTTATATACAAACAAATCAAACCGCATCCTAAAATAACGTAAAAAATAACAACCATCCAACATCGAGTCATAAGTGGTTGTGGGTGTGAGAGACGGTAACTAATATATCGGGATTAGGTTAAAAATGGTAAATCTTATCATAATTGTCAATATGTTAGATGAAAGAATGCATACATATATATGTAACAGTCCATAAACAATTTTCAGCAGTAACGATTAATTCATTCTTCGTCAGGATATGACACTTAGCACAGAGGATACAATATTTCTTGAAAAGTAGTAGGAGTAAATAATAATGCTTATGATGGAAATTTTCGATTATGTGATGAGCAACAATCTTCAATTTTACAGATATAAGTTTTTCTTATTACAAGACGGTAATGTTAACTTAAATCACCGAATTAATCCAACATTAAAAAGTCGTTATTTACCCTATTATTTATACGGAATAGTAAGAAAGGTTAATACGTTTTGATTGACATACATTATATGATATTGTCATATGAAAAATAAGTTCATGTGAAGAGCATTCATGTATATAGTCATAGATGACTGAACTCAAAAATATTCAGTAGCTATCTGCATTGGTTCATTTTAGTTAAATATCTCTAAAGAAACGATTTGTTTGTTTTCTACTCCTATTTTTTTACGTAGTTACTAATTTCTCTAATTTCGTCAATCAGTATGAAGAAGAACAAACAACTGAATGGATTAAACATTTGAATAAATCCAATCAAATTATTGACTATAAAACTCCTTCATATGACTGTCTTTACAAGTACACTCTAAATGGTATATTAACAGAAAAAATAAAACCTACAGTGAAATCCTCTGAAAGTAATCCACAAACCGATGAGAAGCAAAGTAATGTCTCTATAAATAACGCCATAGATGAATCAGAACAAAATAAACCACATTACTCTATTGATATGAGTCAGTTTACTTTAGCACCTTTATGGTCTTCTGAAGATATTTCCGATAATTATAGTGAGAATGAAATAGACAAGGAAAGTACAATAAATGAACAAATTTCAAAGAAACTACTATTTCATGAAGTCATGAATACAACTAGGACATTAATCGATATTTATAAAGACAATTGTCTGAAACTGAAATGTAATGCAATAAAATCTGTTATTAATCGGTTGGAAAAATTATGTACAACAAAATATATAAATTTTTCAGAATTACACTTAAGCAAGTTAAAATTTCAACCAGTGAGTAACTTATTGAAGGTATGTTCTGTTCTTCTTTTTTTTGGGTTTAAAGAAATGTTAGTTTATATAAACTTGGACAAAATTATGTAGGTCAACTGAATAGAATTGTCTCTTATCATAATCAAAAATCTTTTTACCATAAAGTAATTTAAAATGACTCAGTAATCAAAGAAAGTATATGACTAGTTTCTGTAAATTTCATAGAGTAAGTCATATAGATGTGATGTTCAGAGTATTTTCAAACTGGTTTTCTAGGTCGACAATTATTCTACGATACTTTTTATGATATATTTATGTAATATGTAATGAAATCCTTAATGGAACTATGTGTTTACTAGTTCAAAGAAAATGATGATGATGTCGTTCAGAAGAGCGATGAAAGCTCCACGACCAAACCATCCAGCTCAGAGAACAAAACTCCACCAAAATCATACACCTGAGCTACAAATCTTCACCATCTCATAATTATACAATAGGACTTACTCACGTTTACCGAATTAGAAATGTTCACCATTTTTACACATAAATATATGGTACGATTTTCGAAGTTTCGCCAGTAAACATTTTTTTAGTGAAACTATTGAACTAGAAGGAATGAATAAGTTTTCAATACAATTGCTTGTTGTCTCAGAAATGAACCGAAAAAAATTGCTTTTTTATTGGGATTCGTGGCCACTGTGTTCTAAGAAACATGAGAAAATTTTAAGGAAAACTTCCACTATGGTCATATATGATCTACAGCATTGGACAACCACAGAGAACTGGACTTTTATTTTGAGATGGACAGTAACTATCCATAATACAGATTTTCTGAAAATCGTAGTCCCATACTAGAACGAAACGGCCGTCCAGTGCTTCCAGGTTTTCCATGGTGGTCTAGCATCAATTGACTCATGATTACAATGTGTGAAATTCCTAAAAATCTCCACAAAACCCATTCTGATAACTATGGATTTGTTTGAAAGCTACTTTAGCACTGGAACTGATATAAATAATAATATACACAATATATACAGTTTACTAATTGTATTCTTCGTTTTTCCATTATGTTTTAAGAGTTGTTAATTACTAATCATACTCCCACAGGCTTTAAGTAATTTTTTAAAACATGTGCTTCAGTCTGTAATCACAATTTATATAACCAGATATCAAGTTAATAAATGTTTGGTGATGAGTATCACTTATCAGTAAGGAACCGATTCTTATCGAATGGTTTATTCAAGCGTCAGAGAATATCAAAGCCAATAATGTCTAAATTTCTGAAATTAGGTTTGGCCAACAATTTCGAATCGTCTAGACTAATGGGCATATAGTACGATGATTGATACAATCCAATCGACATTAAGGACCAGACAAACGACATTGGATGCTATTTAACTGGTGCAAATAGACTAATCATCATAAAAATGAAGTTTTGATAGTTCAAAGAGAAAGCAAATAATCAAAATGCTGAAGAAACATGTTATAAATTTATTTCCTACTTGGTGCTTCTATCAAATAAGTGTTTGAAAGGTTCTAGAATCCCATCCAAATTTTAAATTCATCATTCTAGTCTTAACGTTAATAGATCTTTGTTGTATTTGTCAATTTTTTGTAAGAGACTCTAGTTAATCTCATACAAGTAAGGAGAATTCGATAATGGAATATTTAGTTAAAATTATCCATTTTGTTAGTAGTGAAAACTTTCATCATGTCCCGTAGAAGTGTTAAGATTTTTCTAAAGTAGAGATTATATAAATTATTTGCCGTCTGTTAGTGATAACGATTAGCAACTTTGTTTGTCAGTTAGTTAGCTACAACGTAAGATCAGGGACATATATGCATAGGTCCAAGTTGCCACACCTGATTAACACAACAAGATAAACACCAAATTCATAGAAGTAGTTACTTCAATACTAGTCATGTATAAAAGAAAGAATGTGTATAAGGAAATAATGCAGGGAGCAAGAATTAGTTCATAGAAAGAAAGTTATAAAGTGATTTTAGTCTCATGTTTTAAGGGAAGATAAAGAGTGTATACACCTACGCCATTGTGATTGATTTTGAGCCATGTCACTTAGAGTCTCCAACCATTAGTTACGATAGTCGCATGTACTCCAATCAAGTAATCTGCTACTACTAATATGATTTAGACTAGAAGTTAGTGACTTTTGTTTGTGGGCAAATACAATTAATTTACTATCATAACAAAAGATTCAAGTTGTTAATTTGATCACTGGATAGTTGAATCATAATAGGTGGTTATTTTGAAAGATCAGCCAAACAATAAAACGAAGGTAAGATTAAGTTGTAGTCATTAAAAAGAGTCAATTAAAAATAAAGAGACCAAGTGTAATATGCATGATGATGATGATCATAATAATCACTTTTACTTACTGATTATATTTGAAAAATCTCGTCTTTTTTATTATTTTAAACATAATTCTAACAGGAGTGTAATGAATTGGAAATATTGGATCTGAGTTATAATAATTTTGAAAATGATGGACTCATATTAGTGAAATATTTACTAGAAGAATTTGCATTTCTTAGACATATCGTACGTTATTAATACAATGGTAAACATATTTTTGTAAATTATGATTTTTTAAAAAAATTACATCACGAAAAGATCTGAGTTGTAGGATGATTCAAAATGTAAAATTTGAGACAGCGGTTCATTTCTACTATTGAACTTTTAACACTTAGCATCAATGATATCACAAAATATCTTGTAGCATCAAAGTGAATAAAGTAGCTGAAGATAAATCATATAATATTCACTGGTCTATATTCACAACTGAATTCCTTGCTTGAAATGGTATGATTCTTATGAAATGTTTTGTTTGAGTAATTTTAATAAACACGTAAGTGAAAATATCTGTATATGTTTATTGAAGTGAAAAAACAATTATTAAAAACAAGATCCTAAAAAGATAGCCCTTAGGAAGATATGTAAGTATGTGAGCTAAATATTAGTATGGTTCACTGAGTAACTGCCTATATATTTATGAAATTATAAGCTAGGGTTTAGTCTATTTTATGACATGAGAATCTCGTAGGTTCTGAAGAATACTTAAACTTCGCGAATTTATTTTATTGTTTTTAGCAGTTGAACAGATATCTAAACTAGTTTATTTTCGTATTCGTTATGCTGTAGATCATCACACTTTAAAAAACAGTTGATTAAAATTCATCGTTGATGTATTTTCGAAACCGCATAATGATATGGCATAATTTAACTGAATATAAGGTGGTGAAGTTACCGTGAGCATCTATGTAAATCATCGCTGTTTAACAAACTGAAAGATATGTATCATAATTAATTGAAGATAACTGAACATTAAAAATTCCACTGAAATATGATCCGAATAGATAGGTATTAATTATTGGAACTTCATCATTAGATCACTATCGACGTCAATACGTTGAATACAGAACTGTCACTATCTTGATACAGATAATTTGTCTTTATTTATCGAAATTACTTCTATTAGTCAGTGATTTTTATAATTTTGTCACTTTCTGAATTGCCCGTGTGCATGGTTTATTTTTCTCCACCAGAACCTTTCTGGCAATCATTTGAATCAAGAAGCTTTCGTTTTGCTGCAATCGATACTAACTAAAAACACCCAAATGGATACATTAATTTTGAAAGGTGAATGATTTAAGTTCCTGCTTTATTTTTGATCAGGATCATTTACAAAACTGTGTGGTATATAAAAAACAAGCGATAATCCAATTCTACAATTTTATGTCGTTAATTTGGTTATTGAAAGACTGATAGTGATTATGAAAATGTGTAGCCCGTCTAAAGACATTTTTCAATGACATAACGAAGATAAAATCTAATGATAGCCTTAAAGCTATACATAAGTTCGAGTTCAGTTATAATTAAAATGTAACACTTGATAAGAGTGTTTATTTGCTTACAGAAATCATGTATGAAACATCAGGCTAAAGGTCAGTGTCTATTGTAACTAAATGAAGTGTTGTTTAGTGACAATTAACACTTGTAAACATTGTGTTTCTTCAAAATTAAGATAGTTCTCAGCACAGGATTCAATGTTAAACCACGATTGTAAACCTGGAAACACTGGACGGCCGTCTCGTTTAAGTATGGGGCTCCTCAGTAACGCGCATCAACGGTCCAAAACACGGGATTTGAATCCAGGACCTTCGGTCTTGTATGCGAACACTCAACCTCTAGACCTCTGAGCCAATCTGAACTAAAGCTTTCAGGTTTTCAATGGTGGTCTAACGTTGATTGATTCATGAACTCAATCAAAACTTGAGATAGCTATTACTTATTACTTCTATCATATTCTCACCTATTCCATTTAATACATGAAAGCGACAATTTGGATAATTTAGTGTGCTGGTAAACTATGAAAAAATAATTGTAAAGAAGTCAAGTAACAATTACTGCTTCAACTGCGGAATTCATTATTCTGTATCAGTTTGCAAAAATTTCAGTTACAAATTGTAAAATAATCTGTAAACCATGGTTTGACATTTTTTGAGAGAAATTTTCTGTCTTAAAATTTTCTTTGTTTTTATATTTAAATCGAATATTGCCAGAGGTCTTACTGATCCATTGAGATTCACCGTTTGTCCATCTATCTAATTTTAGATGCAAGAATAAACGATACTGGTGCAGTCATGATCGCTAGTGGTTTAAGAGTAAGTCAAAATGTAGCACGTTTTATTTAACTCCAGCATAAATCAAATTATCAGTATAGGGGTTGCGGCGATTGTTAAGTTTTGATTGAGATCATGAACCGATTGATGTCAGACCACTATTGAAAACCTGGAAGCAGTGGACGGCCGTTTCGTCTTATTGTGAGACTCCTCAGCACTGCGCATCCACGACCCCGCTTCGCGGGATCCGAACCCAGGACTTATTACTCTTGCACGCGAACGATTAACCTACTGGACCACTGAGCCGGCATCCAATGGTGTTAATGTCTAATCTCAACCAATCCAAGAAGTTGCGCAACCATCTTTCATTGTACTGAGGTAGACACCTGTTTCTACCCGACACGGATTAGCTCCACTGGTCACGGCTTCAATGGTGGTCTAACATCAATCGGTTAATGATCTCAATCAAAACTTAACAATCGCCGCAACCCCTATACTGATAATTACCATGTGCTCACTAGTGACTAACTTCGTGAGAAAATTTCCGGAGTTCTGGTGAGAAGCAGTAATAATCGTAATAAAAATAATATTAATAATAATAAATGTAATAAGAGGTAGTTACGATGTAAAAAAGGTTCATGTCAATTGGGAAAGATGGATATGAAGTTTAAGATAATGGGAAGGGGGTAAGAGGTTTATAATATTCAGTTTAGGCATCCGGTTATCCAGTCCCAGGCCAAGGCAAACATGATGGCTGGATATGCCTTTTCTGGATACATTAGTTCGGCTTTCTAGAGTTGGTCCAGATGGCTTCGGCTGTGTAGAGTAGCCGTAATCTAGCTTCTTGAAGTAGATTTTTCGGAACTGGATATAAAAAAAATTTTTCCTCTATTTTGATATGATGTTCACTATATACCAAATGAGAACAAATAGTGCTGTTGATTGATTTAGTAACTCTTTTTCCCAGCCATGCTGATACCTGTTCGTGAACACGCTAGGATAAAGCCCTCTGAGTACGGCCTATGTAACTAGTTCCATAGGAGCAGTTGAATTGGTATACACACATGGAGGAGCCTATCGTCGGTAACCTATCCTTGATTTGTTGTGTAAGTACTGGTTTAGTTAAGAAAATTATATGTAGCTTGGCGGCGTGAAACGTTCCTTCGACAGATCTTTTGAGTCGACGTGTTAAATTATCACCCGCCATGTCCCTTTTAATATCCAGTCTCACATATAGGATTTTTTACTAACTGAGCCACAATTTCTTTTTTTCATTACTTTCTACTAAACATTTTTTGACGAAATTATCTGGATAACCATTATGTCGTAATGTGTTCTTTAGTATATCTATTTCGGTGTCTACACTATCCTCAGAACATAATAGCCTGATTTGTGGCTGAGATATTTAACCAAATTTATTTTGCATTGGAGAGGTATGAAGCTTTGGAAATGGCTGTACCGACCCTTCCATGTGTTCTATCTAAGTATATTTATTTTGATGGAGCCGTCTATCCTTCTAGAAACTAGAACATCAAGGAAAGCTATACTATTGTCTTTCTCCTCTTTGCTGATGAATTTAATAACTGGGTGGAGGTTAATAAAAAGTCCGATATCTCCTGTTTGTCGATATTTCCGTCACATACGATTAGTGTGTCATCTATGTATCGACACTAATAATCTAGCTTACTTAGGATGTCTTTCAACTGTTTGCTTATCAGTTTGACCAGAAAACTATCAGCAAGGATCGAGCCTAATGGTGATCCAATTGCTACTACATCTACTTGTCTGTAAAATTCATTGTTAAACATAAAGTAGATATTCATAGTACATTTCAACAGAAGATCCTTCATTTTACTTACTGGAATTGGTATCTCTGTTTCCTTGTCTAGCAACTGTTCACATATGTAATAAATAGTGTCAATCAGGGGGTGTTAGTGAACAAAGATGCCATGTCTAGTGATAACATGGTTTTGCCATTTATATTCATTTTTTATAGTATTCACAAACTCAAATACATCATTAATGCTGTGCCTCACCAATTTTTGGTATAATGGTTCTAATAATTTCACTAATCGTTTTGCCGTTGAATGGTATGGTGAGTATGAATGTCCAGAACTGGGCGTAAAAGAACCTCAGGTTTATGAATCTTAGATAGGCCATAGAGTCGAGGAGTATGTGTTCCCGAAGGCATCAGCTCATTACAGATATACTAGGAGATGTATTGATGTTGTTGCAAAACTCTTAATTCTGTAGTTAACTGACGTTCGATATGATCCAAGCTTTTGGAATTCAGTTTGACTATTTAGGAGGATATTCATCTTATCTATATGATATCTTGTTTAGAATTACGGTGCCCGATCCTTTATCAAGTTTAGTGATAAGAATGTGCTCATTTGATTTTAGCTTTCGGAGGGCCACGCGATGTTTATCAGTCAATATACTAATTATGTGGTTCTTGTGTCTTTTAAATTGGTTACAGTTATCAACCGGTGTGGTCTTGAAACTTTCATATTCGACCTTTGTCGTGGGCATTAAGTCTTGTGTTTGGGTAAATAGATTCTCAAACTGAACATCAGGCTTCAGGTAATCCACATTTTTACGGCTATCATAAAATTTAGAACATAATGATAAAACTTCTAGTTGAGTCCTATCGAGATTAACAAAGGAAAAGTTAAAAGCATACCAGCTACAGTCGTCTGGAAAAGCCGGTTTAAATATTTGGTTGTATCGTCCTTTGATTCGGTCGATTCTTCTTCTGGTTTTCCCTCATCTAATCAGCGTGAAAATCCGACAGGTGTTCTATGGCCATTTCTCCAACATACAAACTTAATATACGGCTTCTGATCCCTATGGAAATGAAAATGGCAGTACGTCTCTCATAAACTCTGATCGCGCTCTTTAACCCTTCAAGTGATTGGAACACTACCAGACACAATGTATTCAAGAACGTGTTATCTGTGTCCATGACAACGTGAGAAACGACAGAGCTTATACTTTGTATGTTACTATCGTTCATAATTTGAAAGAAAGTTGCTCTGTCGACAAGTACTTAGATTTTATATCAATTTTAAGAAATAAAGAACTAATTATAACGAATTTAGAACTAGTCACTTAATCGGACGAAACGGAATGACGAAAATTGAAAAATGAGATGAAAAAATTAGTTAAAAAACACAAAAGTCTCCGTGCTTTTAATGATATTCATCATTATTACCTCAATTAACAAGATAAAATTCTTCTACTATGCATTTTATTCAAACGATTTGTTCCATTTTCGTTCTTGTGATATGACTATTTTTCTGATTGTGACTTGACACATTAATCCAAATCATTATGATCTTTATTAAATGACCTTTCTAATTTACAAATAACACAATTTTGAAATATATATGTCGTAACAGATGCACCTGTTCATCATTTTTAACATTGTCGAATTCAATACTTGAGATCATGAGTCCATTGAAGCTAGACCACCATGGAAAACCTGGAAGCACTGGACGGCCGTTTCGTCCTATTGCAGGACTCCTCAGCAAATTCATTAATGCATGTATTATTTTGGCCTTTGTAAAATATCACGATAATTGTGGACTTATAAATGTTGATCCTGATGATGAAGTTGTTGAAAGCAATTGTCCACTCAAATACTCTTCATTTTTGAATATTCTATGGGATTCTATGTTTATGGTTGATGAGTAAATGAATGTATGTATTGGATAGTGTTAAATTCACCAGAATAGATATTTACAGTTTTCAATGTCTCATAGAGAAGAATTAGAATGATCTTATAATTCAGTTGCTACATTTCTATAAATTTACAAATATGATGTAGTTTAAACGATTTGACAAATAAAACATTTTTAAAATTTTTTTAACTCATATAATGTACTTACTAGTGATAAACTATCTACATACTTTGCTTTTAAGTAATGAATATCATTTTATCATAAATTTAGGAAAGAGACCAGTGTTTAGAATAAATAAATCGAGTCTGTTTACCTAAATGATGCTAAACAGCGCAGAAATTTCAATTGATGGATGGATTTTCAGATTTATTTGCTTGTCGTGTTTTTTCGTCACTATCTCCTTAGTGCAACTTGGTCTGGGCAATATATATGGTCACGTTTGGGACATACTGTTGAATAGAATTTACGGTAGAACTGGGTGTTATGATCATCAAACGTTTGCTATTACCCAGTTGATACATAACTAGTTTTTGTAAAATCCCACTAGTTATTTGATTTGAAGAATAATCATTTTAAGATGTCTTTGAATATATGAGTAAAAATACACTTTACATCTTCCACAATGATTCAAACTGAATTATATGAGCAAGCAGAAAGCAAAACGGTTTTTTATTCATTTCAATTGTTAGTTAACTGTTTTACAGATTATTTCTATTGCTGCTATTATATCCAATATTTATTCTCGGAAATTTCTAGAATATTTCTTTTTTACTTTGTCGTATTTATTGCTATATGTTTTGTGCCAAATTCAGTTTTGGCAATATCGGTATAACTTCACATAAGCTCACTTGTTGCTCGCTAAATATAAAAATAATTCAATAGAAACATAAACAAATAACAGACACGTAGAATAATTCAACAGTTAACTATAAAAACAAACAATCAAATGGTTGTATAATTTCTTTTATTTTTATAATAAATTAGTCACATCGTAATTTTATGAAATAAGGCTGTAATGTTACCGGTTTCGAATAACCTAAAGATAATCGTCTACTTCTTTTTTTTGGTAAAATCTGAACATTTTGATCAAGAATTGAAAACATCATCAAACATGGGTTATAAATAAACATCATAATAAGAATAAATTCATAAATGTTTTCGAAAATATGAAGAGGTCAGCAGACGGCTATGTATCAACGATATTAGGGACACATCTATATGTAACAGTGATTTTGAAATAAATGTTAGGTTTTACGTTCGCTGCAATACGGAAGGTCCTGGATTTGATTCTCAGTGGGGTCATGAATCCACACTGTTGAGGTTCTGATACTTGGACGAAACAATTGTAAACTACTATCTGAGTTTTAGTGGTTGTTTAGCTAAAGTTAAAATGTGATATAAGGTATGTAAATTAAATTTGTATTTAATTTTACAGACAAATACACGTTTAAAAATGTTAGATCTATCGAAAAATCTTATACGGTGTGAAGGAGCTTTAGAGATTGCTAAAGTCTTAGGTAGGTTAATACTAATAATACAATAACATTTTAATTCATTATACAGCCAACAGCATTAATTTACAATGGCTCAGTTTACACTGGAATCAAATATGTTCAAGTGGAGCCTTTGAATTTGGAAATTCATTAGAGGTAAGTTCAATCATGACAGTAATGAGTATTATTGGAAACATCCGGGAAGTCAAAGTGGTTTCTTGTTCAGTGGTAAATACACGTACTTATCGTACAAACTTTTCAGTTAAACTATGAGGAATTAAAGAAAAATATATAGAAAAACTAATTATGTGATGGGTGTTTTTAGTCACTATCTACTCCTAATCGTATTCAACTTGGAATGCTACTGCACATATATATAACTGAAAAAAATTACTTGATTTTTGAGTACAAAATAGTTATACTGAATCGTCTCAGATGCTGTTCAGACAATGTAGTGATAGGATATTTATTTACCAATGGGAAGAGTGGCTTATTCAAGGTTATACGACACTTTATTATCTGACAAATGTTATGTAGCAAGGTAATGACAATAGAATCGTGACTTATTCATGTATACTCCAGGATTTTGTGAACCTGGCATCTGTGCTAGTTGGAACTTGATGGTAAATTCTATCCTTATTTTCTAAAGAAGTGAATTCGTACCATTCTCTTTCGAAAAAGGGCTCCTATTAGGTTGTTTAGGTCACAGCTAACTTCAGAGAGTAAATAAACAGTTGAACACCTATTAATCACTTGTTGTTAATAAAAATAGTAATAATAATAATGTTATTTTTATCAACTATTGAGTACTGATTTTATCCTATTGACCGTGTTACAAAGTAATATTATGATATGTCGACTCAAACTTCAAAGTGTATATCATATTGATGATTTCAGAAAATGTTTACCAGTCATCACCAACTTGAACAGAAACTAGATTTTGAGGCGTTTTGCAAATGGTCACCAATCAGTTAATACAAAACAAAGTTCAGTATAATGTCTAGGCACCCGGAGTAGTGACTACAGTGTGATCATATTGACAACATTGAATTACAACTAAAAACAATTTGTAGCCTGTAGCCTGTAACTCTTCCCGGGTTACTGCCACTTCCAAGCCCACACAAAGGAGGAGGGTTGAGCATAGGGTTAGGAATCCCATCCCGTAGAAAGCAACCTTGCTAAAACACGCTAGCCAGAAAAACAATTCAAGCCGTTTAAACTCTGTCCTCCGTTATGAATTATCTTCTTTCGGAAGGATTATGACACATCATGATGAAAGCCGAGAGCGACTATGGTGCACCTAAGAAGATCGCCAATATCATCTGGAATCCATACGATGGACTACAGTGCAAAGTGGTGCATGGAGGACAGCTGACAGATTTGCTGGACTATAAGGACCTGAACATGTGAGGGGAAGCATGGAATACAATGAACAGCTCAAAACCAACTAGACGATTTGAACTTCACAGATGACCTGACCCTTCTATCCCATACATACGAACAAATGCGGATAAAGACAACTAGTGTAGCAGCAGCCTCTACATCAGTAAGCCTAAACATACACCAAGGAAAAAACAAAATCCTCAAATACAGTGCGGTGAGCACCAACCCAGTGACACTAGATGGAGAAGCTCTAGAATAGGTGGAAACGTCCAATTATCTGGACAGCGTCATCGATGAACGTGTGGGATCTGATACAGACTTAAAGGCGAAGATTGATAAAGCAGCAACAGCACTCCTACAGTTGAAGAACATATGGAACTCAAAACAGCTGTCAACCAACGTGAAAGTCAGAATCTTCAATACGAACGTCAAGACAGTTCTACTGTACGGAGCTGAAGCGCGGAGAATTACCATAACCATCATCAAGAGAGTATCACTGTTTCTAAATAATTGTCTACGCAAGATACCCAATGTCCGTTGACTGATTACCATTAGCAACAACTTACTGTGGGAGAGGACAAACCAACTTCCATCTGAAGAAGAAATTTGGAAAAGACCTTGGAAGTGGATAGGACACACAATGAGGAAATCATCAAACTGCATCACGAGGCAAGTGCTAATTTGTAATCGTGAAGAGGGATCGAAAAGTGGGAAACCTAGGAAAACATTGCGTTGGGAATTAAAGGCATACATCAAGAAAATGAATATCAACTGGAAACAAGTGGAAAGAGTACTCAAGGACAGGATTGTTTGGAGAATGCTAGTGGATGGCCTATGCTTCTCCACGAGGGGTAATAGGCATAAGTAAGTAAGTTTTGAGAAATTTGAAACTGTAATCTATATTACGTCGTACCACATGTATTATATTATGAATCACCGAGTAGATATGTTAATCTCTAATTGATATTTCTCTGTTTGTATTTTTGTTTTTGAAGTGCAACAAGTCACTTTTGTACCTAGATCTTTCATGGAACGGATTTAATGGAAAATGTTTGGAAAATCTTGGCAAAGGTTTGAGTCGAAATTGTCATTTAGAGGAATTAAACTTGAAATATAATCGTATTGATTTAAAAACTATTATCTCATTTGTAGATTGTTTATACACAAATAAATCCTTAAAGAAATTATGTGTGAGTAATATTGGAATACACATTTATTTCATTTTATTAAACTATCGTTGCTTATAAAATCATTGTTTTTTTTATCAAAGTAAAAATTGGCTAGATGGAAAGATAAGCTATGATTACAAAGATTGAATTTGATAGATTAAACCCTACTCCTGCTTTTGTGATGAATGTAAGAACAAATTTAACTTCGATTAAGAGTAGTATTCGTAGTACAAAAACATCACACAAAATAATGAAAACTGAATGAGCTTAAAGCTTGAAATCACTTTCATATTCCTAGAAAATTATTTGTGTCTTGCCAAATGAGAATGTGTGATTAGTTAATTTCAAGTAACCTTGCGCTGGTGCTCTTTACTATAGGTTTGAAAATTGAAAAATAATATTTAATGTAAAACTTTGTTAACAGATTACAATAAATTTTTAATAGTGATTTAGATGGAAAGACCTTTTTGACATGATTTTGAGAATTCAATCTATCATCTTGAATGTCAATTAATTCATTGTACGAAAACTGTTTGAATTCATTACATAGGTTTCTTACTTCATTACAAATATGTTCGAATAATTTTTTTCTGGTTATTGTTTTTTTAGCGAATAAGTTTTCTACGGGATGGGGTCGCTAACCCCATGCCCATCCCTCCTCCTTTATCCGAGCTTGGGACCAGCAGTAGCCCCCGGGGGGACTCCAGGCGGAGTTATTACATATATTTTATTAAAGATAAATATGAGGTTTGATGAATGTACTTTTAAAAGTCGTCTGAGTCAAATATAATATCCATCAACAGAATGAATCTAATATTTAATGAACTCAGTAAGTCAATTGAAGTTAGACCACCATGGAAAACATGTTATTAATTACTATCCACATTTAACCTTGGATTTCATAATCTATAACCATTCATTCAGTAAATTAGTGTTATTATCAATAATAAAATAAATAAATTGAATTTTCAATTTTAATTTATTATTTATCCAGCTTGGTTTCAATCCATTGACAATGGCAGGTGTTCATGAATTAATTCATGTAATTGAAAACTCAACACAATGTATTCTTGAAGAATTAGATTTAGAAGTACGTCTATATTCTAATACTTCTTCCTAACATATTTGTATGATTGTAAATGTTTACTTACATTAAATTCATTCATGATATGTACGTTAATGATTCATTTAATTAGTTCTTATGTATCTAGAAGACATCAAGCTTGGGTATGTGTGTTTTTCGGGATTTTATTGAAACCATGAGTTGATCTATATAAAACAACCATTAGAAACCTAGAGGCACTTGATGCTCGTTTCGTCCTAATATAGGATCCCATAGCAGTAAGAATCCACGATGCTTCACATGGAAATAGAACAAAGGATTTTTGATCTTGCTCTCAAACTTTGAAACTCTAGACCATAAGGTCGGAACCCAGCAGTGTTTGTGTCAATCCATGATATTGCACCACCATCAATTATCGTCTTCGTTGAGTAACTGCCTCATACTCTACATGGATTAGTTCCACTGGTCCCGGGTTCTCACTAAAATTACGGGGATTTCTTTCCAAATTGGATTGAATAAAGTTAGATATCAACATACTTTAGAAGTTCAGAGTTTGCGCGCGAGATTGGATATCTTTTGTTCTGTTTCCGTGTGAAGCATCGTGGATGCGCACTACTGTGGGACCTTATGTTAGGATTTTAATGGTTGTCTTACTTAAGTCGGTTCATGATTTCAATGAAGTTCACAGATCTTCGCAACCTCATACTGAAAATTTTTGGATTTGCTAAAGGCCAAAAATGTCAAGCCATCAGTTCCAGCGTAAGAAAAAAGGCAAACGAAATTCTTCTAGACGAAAAAAGAATAAATTTATTTATAATTTCTGTGAGCAGTTACTTGGTCAAGATGACCGTTAATCAAACATTAACCTAGTTTCCTTGTAAACTAATAACATCTTTTAAAAATAAGTGACTCTCAAGAGGAATGATAAACTACAGAAACCCCGTTTAATTCGGCATGTGTTAAGAACTTGGTTTTTCAATCTATTAAAACTTTTGTACTATTATTACATTACTTCAGCAGTCTGGAAAAATGCAATATGTTACTTACTCTGTTTAATCTCTTAAGCTGAATATCTCGAAACATCATAACTTTATAAGGACATGTTTACAAAGGCTATAAATTGTTTGTAACCTCATTTATTGCTGAATACATTTTTTCAGAAAGTTCATATTGTAAATCTCTTACATTTATTAAGTTATTTTTAACGGTTAAGATCATGAGTCAATTGAGGCTGGATCACCATGGAAAACCTAAAAGCACTGGATGGCTTTTTCGTCCTAGTATGGGACTCCTCAGCAGTGCTCATCCACGATCCCACCGCGCGAGATTCGAACTAAGGGCCCATCATTTCCGCACGTGAGCGCGTGTCTAACTTCAGCTAATCCATGAAACTGAAGTTAGATATTAACACCGTTAGATGCCAGCTCAGTGGTCTAGTAGTTAAGCGCTCGCGCGCGAGACTGATAGGTCCTGGGTTCGAATCTCGTGAGGGGCGGGATCGTGGATGCACACTGCTGAGGAAACACATAATAGGACGAAATGGCCATCCAGTGCTTCCAGGTTTTCCATGATGGTCTAGCTTCACTTGACTCATGATCTCAACCAACGAAGTTACTATAATATCCACAATATCCCTTCTGACTTATCAAGTTACTTAGATTAAACTTACAACTAAACAGAAAACTGTAAAACTATGATATATTCCATTTGAATAAATTTCATAAGTAATATCATTTTCGAATTTTAAATAGTATCTATCATTAGAAAAAGGAAATTCCTTATCTTAATCAAGCTTGATAAATTGAACAAATATCATACTTTTATAAAGTGGAAATTTTGAAATTTGTAAATCTGATTTATAAGGGATGCTTTAATCAAGTAAAAGCATCTTCCATAGGGTTCGGTTTAAACGATGACAAATGTATTAGGAGACTTTACAATGGTATCACACTCTCAATATGTTAATGAAAATAATCAGTTTACTATATTTCTTTATCAAATATTTGTTATTTGTAAAACTCGTGGTAATGTCTTGTTATAGAGCATAATGATTTCTTAATAAAGCTGACAGGCATATTATCCACTTGGTTTATTTACTGATCTTATAAAACCTCATTATTTCTAAAATAATGATAACTAATAAACAATCTTAGTAAGCGTAATGTTAGTTGTCTATTGGAAAAGTAGCAAAGATTATAATCATTTTAACTGATAAAAATATTGCCATTTTATATGTAACAAAATGGAGCTAATAACATTAAACAAATGTTCGGAGTTTAATAATATCTTGTTCTATAAGATACCAGAAGTTCACACTACTTAATTGGTTGATGATAACCGATATTGCACTGTTTAGTTCTCAGTCCCGATTACATTATGTTAATCTATTATATCAAAATTCCAGAGATCTTGAGGAAAATTCTAAGAAAGAACGAGTCCTGGGTCTAGTGCTCTCTTCATTCATTTAACATGAAATGAAAATTGACAAAAACGTTGATGACTTTCAAGTTCATTACTTAAACACTTTTAATTGTTATTCACAAGTTTATCTCGTTCAACTTTTATTAATGAAGTTAATTTAATAACTTGCTGACTTTTTTTTATAATAAAAGGGGTTGACAATTAATGAAAACATTTTACAACAAGTACATCGTATTAATCGTAAACGACATTTCGTATTAAAAGTCGCCAAATGTATCAGGTGGGAACCTCGTCAAGGAAAATACAGTAAGTCATAGGGTCACAGTTTCTTCCTTCCTACTGATTAGAACAGTAAGATTAACAATTAAGATAAAATGCCAGACTATTGCTATTGACCTTATCGTAAAACACTATCAAAACGAATGCTTTATTTCTCTAGATTTATTGGTCTGTTGAACAGTAAATAGCTATGATTGTTTATTAATCAGCAAATGGACTTTTAATTGGAAGTATATTATAAGCTAAGGTTTTATTGATATAATATTTAACCTCAGGAAGGTTCTAGGATATGGGCGAGCAATAGATAACATGTTATTACTTAAAATTCTATAGAATATGGGCATATATGGTAACCTCGATACTATTTATTTCAACTGTTTAACAAAGTGATTCATGATCAATTCACTTGGTAATGTTTACTTAAATCTTCCCATTGATGTTTAGGATTGCAGTTGATCAGTCTCCTGTTGATATATGTGCATACTGTGCGTATTGTCTCGATATTGTCTTAATTTACAAGCATTATGAGCAAAGATGAATAGTGGTTAGTAGTGGAATCTAGGACGCGCTTTTTGTTCTATTTGGAATTCGTGAGCTGGATGTACCTGGATCTCAGAGTTGATGTTCAGTCTGGGACAATACGCACAGTATGCACATATATCAGTAAGAGACTGATCGATTGCAATCCTAAACATCAATGGGAAGATTCAAGTAAACAATACCAAGTGAATTTAAACTTCACCCCATTGGAAAAGCAAATGGCTATCACGACTCAGTGGCTAAGTGTATAACGCGAAGCATTTGAAGAAAACGTTACTGGGTTCGAGTCCCAGAGTGAACATCAACTCTGAGATGCACGCACATCCAGCCAACGAGTCACAAATAGGACGTAACACGCGTCCTGGATTTCACTGCTAGCCATCATCCATACTTGCTTATCATCAGATTATCTGGAAAGTACAAGTTTTATACAAATAACTATCCTATGACTTTTATTAGTTAGTTATTGTGAATTACCTTCGGGAAAGAATAGAGGACCAGAGAAATTCGTAATGCCAAAAGATGAATGGGGTAATTTAATCACATTTCATTATGTCTATGATAGTTTACCTATCTATCAAAGAAACAAGAGTGAACAAATATATACGATATTCGGGATTATGACACATGAAGTAATTGTATATATATAGGAATCTTTATAAACTGTCAACAAGAGATAATTTCTAACATAGTAACCATTTCAAACACCTTCATAAAATTGTGAAGAACCACATGTCACTGTTTTTTAATAGATTGCCTCATTAAAAATTCATAAGTAATTTAAATCTCATTTTGATGAAAAGTTGATCAATAATTCTTTAAATTTATCATTTATGTATAGTTTTCTTTTCTTATTTAAATGTAGGTAAAACAGATCCAGTGACATTCTTAATAAATTACCTCAGTAGACATGGAATGCGTTTATTAGATTTATACCATTTGTTAGATCCTCAACAAACTGGAGTGATAAGTGAAGCTCAATTCACAGAAAGAATGATTGTAAGTTACATAGGTTTATAACGATATACGAATTACTTATTTAAATATATATATATATATATATATATATATATATATATATATATGTTTAGTGATGTATGAATGCTATTGAAAATCAACTTAAGAATATGGAAGTCAAAGTGAAATGATTATGACAGAACTTAAAAAATGTAAATTTATCACTTCAATTTGTTTTTATTGACAAGTGTTAACTTCAATTTCTCTATGGTTACAAAATACAATAAGATTTAAATGGAATGGCTTTTTGGAGGTTATACTGATTTATAGCTATAACTGATAGGGATTAATCTCAATTGAACTATAAAACAACAGGATATTGGATAGCTGGTTTATATTAAAACACACCAACAACATTCAAATCTCGCCAGTGATTGCCAAATGATGCATTCAATAAACTCACTTCATGATGAAGACTAATGGAATATTTGCAATTCGTTGATGCAATCGACGATCTTAACAAGATAGAATGATTTTAATATTTAGTCGGTAAAACTTGCAAAATTCTACCAACAAAATTGTCTCAATTTTTTGTTCAAAAAATAATTTAGAAAAGCTATATTCATTTCAAATCATTCAGATTAATGACATAATAATAAAACCACGTATAAACACTACTGTCTTACTAAACTATACTCATTGTGAATACATTAATAACAATATATATATATATATATATATATATATATATATATATATATATATATATATATATAGGAAATGACCTTAACTACACCGTTCATAAATTAACAGGCTGTCCACTTAAAAAAAATTAAAAATTCCCGGCTGATGTATTGGATTACTGTAATACATGTACTACCTAAACAATTACTGAACTAATACACTTAAAACTATCATATATCACATGTTTGGTCTCTACATCTAATGTTACTACTTATATCGAATTGATCATGCCTGTAAACTGGCATAAATTCTGTAATTATTATTTTCACAATATATACATATTATTACTATTATTTGATTATATTTTAATTGCAGAAAAATCACATTCCGTTAAATCCTGAGGATCTCAAAATACTGATTAATTATATTGATTCAGAGAGAACTGATAAAATAACTTATAAGTAAGTCTTTATTATTAAGTCTTTTTTATTATTAGGTAACAATTAGAAATTAATCAACTTTTATAATATTCAAGTAATTTTTAAACCTAGTATTCGAAAGATTATTAAAGTAAAAGTTTACATCTAAAATTAAAAAAAAGAATCTGTCTTTACACATTCTGCAGCTATTCGGATGACTCTCCCGTTCTCCCACATTGTACGAGTATTCCATGTACCTAAATTAATAGGTGCTCTGGTTGTCGGAAGAGGCATCAACCTCGTGACTTTCGAAGAAATTCGGCTTTCGCTATGAGGCATCATAACACTTTTAAATGAAGACTTTCTAACTCCCAGGGCAGAGTTTAAATTGTTTGAATTATTTTTTCTGGTTAGCGTTTTTTTATCGATTTAGTTTTCTACTGGGTGGAGTCACTAACCTCAAGCCTAACTCTCCTCCCTTATTTGAGCTTTGGACCGGCAGTAGCCCCAGAGGGGCTCCATGCGAATTTTTTACACGCACATTACAATTTCACAACTTTTCAGAATGTTCAGCTTAAACTATTCTGTTACCAGCTGCTTTTTATCCATTTGACTAATCTGCTTTTATGGGTATGTAGTAATTTGCTATTTTTGTTAAACTCCTGTATATCAAAAACTGTTCTTTGTTTTATAGCTTATTTCATCTAGACCATTCACATAATTAATTATCATTAACTGTTCAGATATGCTATTTAAATAACAAATTGTTGAGTCTTTTAATGTCATATCCAATTTTCGTTTATTATATTCTATTGAATTTCAATATTTCTTTACAATAGATTTGATAATTTACAATCATTTTTGTTATACTTCGACACTTGTAATATTTCGATGGAATATTTGTGTTCTTCACGAGACCATACGGTAATAGGAGCTTCTGGGAATATTTATTTTATATTTACGTACTATCATTAGACAGTTTCACAGTTGACTTTCAGACTTGTTAACATTATAGTACAAAGTGACGTTCACCTTAATAACTCCATTGTTATAAGATAATAAGTAAGAGGCTCACATTATTCTTTTATTTTTATTATAACAGAATATAGACCTGTTATGAATAATTTACTAGTTGAGAAAATATATGCATCAGTCAGAGATTTTATTGATCTATTGAGATTCGATTAAAGCATCATTTCATTGATAGAGTCAAATGCAATTCTGATTTCTTAATTTCAATAATGTCAAAAAAACTTCATCAATTTCTTTATTCCTAATCATAATATTTTAGATGAAGTTTGAATTTAGGACTTTTTCACTCTTTACTTCATTATTATCTTTCGTATGCTGAATTGATCCTATCAAAAATTCAGTTAATTTACATTTACACAAGTTTATGAATAAAGAGGTTCTTTTAATGAAGTTTATTAAGTTGCATGAATAACGTCTTACACGTTATTACTTTTGGTTACTGTCGTTATTGTATTTCAAACATGTAAATATGAATTAATTTTAGTAACGGCAAATAAACTCATGTTCTTTTATATTCTCCTCTATGAATCATTTAACTGAATGTAGTTTTTATCAATTTATTGATCAGTCAATAAACTAAACTATCGAAATATTTAGAAACCATGTAAAAACTCATATTTGTCTTAGTTATTTTGGATTATTACACTATCAAAATAAAATTTAAAGAATAGTGAGTTTTACAAATAGATTAATATCCAGATATTTTATAATATCCCATTCAATGTGTTAGTGATTTGAAAAACAGCTTTAGATTTTGTTAAAATAATGTTGTACAAGTGTCAGAATAGTAAAAAACGTTAATTTGATATTGTGTTTTGTCAGCTGAATGTACTTACATCTCAGAGTTGATGTTCACTCCACAACTCGAACCTAGCATCGTTCGCATAATAGGACGAAACACGCGTCTTGGATTCCACCACTAACCACTATTCATCTTTGCTCATATTACTTGTGAATTAAGGCAATATCGAGACAATACGCACAGTATGCACATATGCCAATAAGAGACTGATCAATTAAAGTCCTAAACATCAATGAGAAGATTCAAGTAAACAATGTCAAGTGGGTTGTAAAGCATCTTCTAATAAAATATCATAAAAAACGTAGTGATAATGTATGAAAATTTACTAAAGTATAATGACTTTATAGGTCCCATAATTTTATTAATTTAATCAAATTCAGTGTATAAATTGAAATAAATAATGAACATTGAGTAATGCATCACATTCAAACAAGTTTCATGTAAGTTAGTAGGAATCAAATTATGTTCAATAAAGGTAAAACAACATCAAAATCAAATAGTTTCAGAAAAAACTACGACAATACAGAGAAGGTTTTCGTCGAGTCTCATTTTTATTCTTTCTCAATAATTGAATAAGTTTTTTTCGTTGTCTAAGAAGTAATTTCTAAATCCTCAACGATTTCAAAAAGTTTATGTGAAATAAGTTGGATCGGAAAGATAAATAAGATTCATTCAAGATTTACATACGTTCTACTAATTAACTTTCAGTGTCACAGTCAACTTATCATTCTAAGGTACTTTTATTTAACATAGCATAACGTTTTAAATTCAGCGAATTGTATTAATACATTAGAAATGAATATTTCTCTTAAACATTTACTAATGAGATTTGATTATGTTCCACTTTTATTTGTATTTTCTAGACTGCTTGCAAGCCGAATTTATTTTTTTCGAATCAGTGTTGGTGAACAGTTACGAATTAAAGCAACTGAATTGTCAAAGCATCAATTAGATCAACACAGATTATTTGTACGTCCAGAAGGACCAGATATAATTGACAAACCACCAAAAGGTAACGCTTCAAAAAGATTTTTATTTTATAAATTTATTTTTCATGATATTTTTGATAAACTGCTGAGTTACTGATAATTACTTTCAGACCTAACATTCAACATTAATGAGCGGTAGATCATCAATAATGGTAATGATCTTTATTACTTCGCCTTTAAAATTCCGAACTGAATTAGGTCATTTGTAATTATCTATTTTCTATTCTTGTATTTATGTTGACTCAATACCTTAGTTTTAGTCAACTTAAACCTTATGTTTTAGTTGTTGTGAACTATTTAATAGTCTAAATGGAAACATCGACTATGGAATTTAAATCCATCCATCAGTGAATTCTTAACTGGGGCGAAAAGCGAGTCCAGGATTTATCTTCTAGACATAATCCATAGTATAATCTTTGAAAAATAATCGGCAGTCTATTTGCAAAATATACAAAAAATAGTCTAAACAAAACTATGAGACGTACTCTTTGAGTGAAAAGTGAATAATTATGGTATTGGGTGTCTGATTATATGAATGAATTAATGAGTGGAAATGGATAAGTATCAGCGAACACATGACAGCAATATTCAGTGATAATACAAACGACGATTATCAAGATATTCCTGACATAATTTTCAGGGTATATTACTGATGACAGTAAACAACAGAGCATAGACTGATTACCTTTTTCGAATTTATCCTCATTAAAAACCTCATATCTTACACATGTATTCTAGTAAAGACAGATATTAATATCGAACTACTTCGGTACTGTACTACTCCTGAACAGTTTTCTTTAGAAACTCATTCGTTGTCTAATTCGAAATCGAGATAATTTATTCTATAGTTCAAGATAAATTTAGATTATGTAGTGTACAATGTTATCTTTCTTGTTCTTGAGTCTACCCATTTATTGATTTCTATTACTCCCTTGAGATTATTTATTAATATATCCCGTAAATAATTAATTTTATCAACAATGCATAAACAGATGTCAATATGTTTTTGGACTTTGAGTAAGAATGGAATCCCCGACGGTTAATTCGTTCAGCATACCTATCACTGAAGATAATATCGAGAAATTTGTTCAATGTACGTATTCCTAAGATAGACTAATCAAATGTATTCCTGGATACCATCAACAAGACTATAAAAATCCTTAGAAGTTCTTGAAAAGTTAACAGTTATTCTACGACTCTGGGACATTTGTGTAATCTGCTACCGCAATCATCGGTCTCTTATTAACGTGATCATAGCAATCAGCTTTCTTTACGAAATTACTTATTGGAAGTGTTGAGATACAACTAGGCTCATATTATCCTGCCACTATTATAAATATTGTTCTGATGGAAATTCGTAGATAGATAGACCATAAAGAAAAGTGGTGGAAATAGAGATACAAATTTTATAAGCTTACATCAGTTTATCCGCCAGTAAATATGATCGTAGGTAACAATACATGAAAACTGAACTAATAGTGCTTGTTTAACGATATTTACATTATACCAAAAAACAAATTAAAAACAAACTAAATGTAAGCCTCACGTGCTCCTTTTTAATAACAAAGCATTTTAATGACGTAACTTAAGCAAACTCCTCAGTCCTCAAATCCTGACAAAATTATAAAGACGTCTAGTGGGGATCGTTGGAGAAATTTTAGACAATCTTCTGGACACGCTCATATTTCATTATTCTTTAAGAAACTTAAATTCGCTTTCTTACATTCTCATATTTGTTGCTTTGTAGGATTTCCTTCTAAAACAAAAAGATCCGTTGCTAATTCAAAAAAACAATTATCCAAAACGCCAAACGCAAACCTCATGACGGATCTAAGTAAAAGTAGCCGAAACTGTGCAAACGGTCAAGAAAAAGTGTATCCCAAAGCAATTTCTAGTGACAAGTTGCAGGAAGAAAAAAATGATCTGCCCATAAATTTTACAGAAATTTTGAAAACAGAAGAGAGCAAACCTAATTGTGCATCCATTATAACTAAAGTATCTAGCTATGATTCAGGTGAAATTTTAAACCGAATGAAAAAGTCGGATTATGGGAGTATATCAGATAAACGCAAACCTTTAAATATACCGAAATACAAAGATTTCGGCAAACGAATTAACGAAAATACAATTAATCCTAAACTTCATGTTATTCCAATAACTGAAGTTTTCGACAAGAAATATTTTCAAGATTTTCTTTATTCGTAATTCATACGCAAAAATTTAAAACGGTTATGACACACAAACTAAATTAATCATGATTCGCGTTTCGCAAATACTTTAAACGTTTTTCTGTATGTTGAACAAATAAATCATCTGTCTGCTCCAAGCTCTTTAAGAGCTAACTGTATAAACATAATAATTATCAAAAGGTTTTCACATTTAATTAGATTCATAACCTAATTAAGCCTGTTACCCTCTTGGAATGTAGACCATCGACCATAAATCTCCAACCATATCGGTCTTAGGCTCTCCTTGCCAATCGTTGCCAAGTCTTATTCATGTTTTGACATTCGTCTCTGTTTCCCGATGTCATCCAGTTTTTGCCGGCCTCGTTTCTTTCTGAATTACATATTAAAAGTTTGGACTTGCTTTGTGGTACAGTTTGCTGATTTCCACATTGTGTATCTCATCCTTCTCCAGTATATTTTTTAAATTCCCTCTTTAGCTGGTAGTTGTTTCATTCTCTGTTATGGTAGGTTTTTGCTGATCTTGTGTAGACAGCTATGTAAAAATACCTGCACATATTTGGTGATGGTTGTGTTGGTTCTCTGATTTTTGGTTCCTCGCAATAGGACTATCTTAAAGTTTGTGATGAAAAATCTGATCCACTTCATCTTTGCATTTACCTCCATATCAAATCAGATAGTTCTTTAATACTTCCTTTTTCATAGCTTTTTCTTTTGTTGTTGCTGGGTTTATTAAATATTTTTGCTTATCAGCTTCAATGCTTCTCTTTACTCGCTTGTTTGCCTCTGTGTATTCAGCTCATGTGTCGACTTTATCTTCTCCTGTTCGGATACTGTCTTGTTCTTATTTCCATTTTTAAACTTACTCAGGTTGTACACAGAGATTTACCCCTTATTTTGGTGCCTGTTTTGCCTGAAAACCTCCTGCAATTTTAAACTCTACGACTCTTTAGTCCTTTTCTAGTCGCATTAGAAAATGGTTTCCTCTCTTTTCCAGCAGACCTTGTATGAATTGTCATCTTTTGCCGAGAGATATCTTGAATTTGCTGAGTTATTTTTAGCATTTCGAAGGGTGGCTGTATTAAACTTTCGTAATGTTGTTTCTTTAGTTTAAGTCTTAATTTGTCACAACAGGGTTTTGACCTGAAATTATATAAACTCCTCTCTTTTTTAGATGTTTGTTGTACCTTCTGAATCTCTCACTTGTCCTTAAGTAATCCACTTAGTTCTTCGTAATGTGATCTGGTGAAACGTGTGTGGCTTCGTTCATTTGCTTTTGTGGTAAAACTTTGCCGCATATAATCACGTTTCAGAATGAAGATGGGTTTATTGGTTTGTTTCCACTTTTATTCATTTACTCTGGCCCCCTCGTGATTCCCTCATACTAACTGTTGTTCACTCCAACTCTGGCGTTCAGTTCTCCAAACAGAACAGTCTTCTTCTGGGAAGTCCTCTACGATGGACTACAGCCTGTTGTAAAACTTGTCTTTATAATCTTCGTTGCTATCATTGGTGGGAGCGTAGTCCTACATGATATTCACTGTAATCCCTCCAGTCTTTGTTTTAACAAATGATTTAATGATCGTGGGTCAAAGAGATTTCTATTCTGTATGCGCTTTTTGTGCTTCTTTGGAGAGCCTCAGAATGACTTCGTGTGTGAGAGGAATTTTTCTTCATTAAGGCGAGAATGCAGCAGCATCTTTCCTGAAGCTAGACATTTTTTCCCACATCGGTCTGATTATTTTCACACATTCCAAGGGGAACACAGTCGTATCTTCTCATTTCTGCCACCACCCGAATGGTTTCCTCGATCCCCCCATTTTCTAGTCATTCCATGTACTTATATTAACTGTAACTCTGGCCGTTATGAAGTGTAATAGCCCCATAGTTTCTGAAGGATCTCAACTTTCACCAGGAGGTGTCATAACTCTGTTTTATGAAGATTCTTTAACTCCCAAGGCAGAGTTTAAATAATTAAAATTATTTTTTCTGATTAGCGTTTTTTAGTGAGGTTCTTGCTTATAATGTTGAGTTGACAGCCTCATGTCCAAAGCTCCATTTTTACCTGGCCCTAGAAGGAGTTAATCAGATCCATTAGATATCAGTAAATTTAAGTTTTGTTTTCTAGTCTGCTTTCTTTACAAGATGATAAATATAAGACGACTGTTCGAAGTATGACAGTTGATGTTAGTAGAATTAAGAAATACATGCATAGAACTTAATAAAGAACGTTTATGTACAATCAAATGCAGCTGTAACGTGATTGCTTGGTAGTTACTGTACAAATGTTTGATAAACAGTTATCTAATTAAATATTTAGTAAAGCTTATTAGGTGTGTAGCTGATCAATTATTTTTTTTCAATACAAAAATGAATTTGTTGACTATCAAACATTTCGACATGCTACTTTCATTTTTAAAAAAAGTAGTAATATATAACTTTGTTTCATGTTCATTTTTTTCAGTATCGTACACGGATGATTGTCAGAAATATTGATGTTAACAATCGAACATTTGTATCATATTCATTATCATTACACTTAACAAACTATCAACTATAGAGATAAAATAAGCACAGTGAAACAAGACGTGTAGAATATAAGTAGTGTTTAATTACTCATTAGTTCGTTTCATAAATTTGCAAATATGTATTCAGTTTACTCAATATCCTGTCTTATCTCCTCTCATGGATCATAAGAGCTTTGATTATGATTAGTGATTATATCTAAATTATTTTAAGCTAATATAAAGAAATAAATGGTGAATTTTGTTGTAATCTAAACAGTCACCTTGGGTACTATGTAAGGAAGAAATGTTGCCTTCATTCAGAGTGTGTTATTTATAGAAACTATAGAACTTGGTAACATCATACTTCTGAAACGATTGAAATAAAATTCCAAGTTTCCTAAAACATTAAAAAAAATAATGATTGTGAATAGTGTAATGTAGTTACACCCAGTTGCAAATTTTTTAAATTGTTAAAATAAACTATCTGTTGAGTATCAACTTAAGAGCATTAAAATACTTGAATGTTGTGAGTTGCTTTCAATTTCAATTTGTAGAATAAATATATTAGGTGAACTCATATTTAAAACTCACCAAATTTAGTTGTCATTCACCTAATATTAAGCTATGTCAGAAAAAAATTTCCACAGAGATATAGAATGGAAGATCTTGAATGAAAGATCACATTCTGTAGAAAACATATTGAAGTAGAGACTTTAATTAATTTGAAGTGAATTAATAATATAAACACAATCATAAGGTTTAAACATTACGGCAGTTTGTAAATTTTCAGAGTTATTGATTCACGTGAGTGACTGGCAAAGGAGAAAAGCAATTATTTTTAATACAGTAATATTGACTTCATTTATTTGTGCATTTTCAGTTCGAAACACAATGTTCTATAATATAGTACAATTTATTTAGTGTCTTAAGCCTAACGTTGATTCCTTTTTTCGTTTGATGGAGTTTGATGCACTCAGTTACACGTGAATCTTTATATCACTTCACTTGTCAGATTATACTATGATGGAAAAGTCTCTATATAAATGTAAGCGCATCCAATATACAGATTCAGTAAATTATTTGTAATTGATAAATCCTACCAAGTAAATCTATCATTAATGTAATTGATAGAACAGAACTAACATACTAAAAATTGAAATCTATATTTAAATTAATCATTAATTTTAATCGATTGAATAGAGCATGTCTATGAAGTTTAGTTTGTTGAAATGATGATCCATGTTTACGATCACAGTTTGATGCGTTTATTACTGATAATTTGATTTATCCTGTTTTGAATGAGTAAAAATAATGTAGGGTTGACTAAATTTCGCCATACTTATATTATTTGTTTAGAAGTTTGTATTATTTGAATGCAGTTTTCATCACAGACTAATATCAGCTGATAAATTGTAAAGTACTGGGAAACTATTTTATTCTGGTCTTTAACATGTCAGAAACGTGTGATCACAACGCTCTCATATGGGATAGAATCTCAAAGATTGAGATACCTTTAGATTACATAGTAAGAACTCAACGATTCACCTCCCTAGTTACACCATTTATATGAAGTTCCACAATCCTCAATGAAGATCATTGGATCTAAATTTGATGGCTTTTATTGTAAATTCTTAGGATCCTACCTTTACCTACCCGTGGCACATTTCAGTAGTGCCCCCGTTGATAATAATCTATGACAAAAATCAACCGCAACATGAAACCTGCTTTTACATATCACTAGAATGAACTATGATCGCGTGCTCACTATTGACTTTGTCGTGAAGTTTCGAGGCTTTTGTAAGAATTCGAAACTAGTTGAGTTCACGTATGTCAGAATTGAAGTAACTACCCATCAGAGTTGTTGAGTAATGCAGCGTTACGCTGCAAACTGATTGAATTTATAATATAGGCTATTGGATTTCAACTCAGTAGGCTTAGATTTAAGCGTTTGCCATTTGAAAGTCTCGCATTTGATCCTAGATAAGGCCATATGACTGTAATCCTGAAAAGTTTCATATTTCAATACGATAGCTCCTTGGTGTTTACTAGTTTCTAGTGATTTTGCAATTAACATCAATCCTTGTGGAAAACTGATTTTAAGTTGTAGATATATTGTCATAGAAGAAAATATACTTATATTATTTAAGCTGACTTGTTTTCTTGTTAAATAGTCAATGTTAGTGTTGCTTAGATGTGTTTGAGTTTGTAGTGAAAATAATTATTTCAGGACGAAATTTGCGATGTAACTTGATTTTACTTAAATAATAACGTCACTTAAGATAATGAACAGTCCTGTAAATGTTTGAATATATTTACAATGAGGTTAGGAATATTAGTACACTGTTGGTGTGAAATTCGACGTAGCTTTCATACTCGGTGAAATATACGTCAGGTTATGAGGTATCATTACCGAGGTTTGACTTGATAATTTTGAATAAATTGAGCATTGGGTAGATTGTTCTAAATAAATAATATATTTGTAATATCCCAGTGAGTAGAAAAAAAAATTTTCTGATGTTTCGTGACTCACTGTAGGCCACTTCTTCAGAGAACAAATAACCAAATCAAAATTAATCCAAGTTTTAAATAGTACAACGGAACAACACAATAATATTATGTCATAATATGAATCCACATCTTACAGGTCGAAACAGAATGCCGTAGCAGTCAGAATTTTACAAATCAATGACCGGTTGAACATTTTGTGATAAGACATATGGTTTCGAAGATATATAAAATCAAGGAGTAGATGTGGTGCATTAAGC